CCACCAGCATTGTCGGCCACTACCATGGAAACCGACGAATGCGCATTCTGACTTCAGTTCAGCCGACGGTTCCAACCTGCCAAGTCGTGCAGGTGTTGGCAAACGGTTGTTGCCATCCACGACCGATTTCATCCGCCGGTAATTCCCCCGGGGAAACGAGTTCGGCAGTACGTACAGAGTATTCGTTAAGAGCGCGATAATCGTCCGGGGGATCGTCCTGCAACGTGCCTTTTCTCCACGGAAATCACGCTATCAAACGGTTGCCACGGCGGGAAAACGGGCGTGTGTTAAAAAGCCGTGTTGCCGTAGAAGGGCTGCGATTTATGGAACCACCCCATGGATAGTAACATGTCGACTGCCGCCTTCATGCACCGGTATGGGAAACATTTAGATCGATAGCTAGTCGCGTCCCATGAGGAGGCTCGAAGCCTCTCGTGTGGCTCTCGTTCTCGCTTTCGTCGACACCGCCAATCGCCCCACTAGCCGACGTACACGGACCGAGAAATTTTTCCGTGAAAATGTTCGCGGTTCGATCGATCGGTTTGTTGCTATGCAGCGGGGGGACTGGCGGCGATACACGCGGACTTCGTCAAAGTGTCCTCGAGGTACGGAGGCAAGAAAGTCGGCGCGATCCGAGAGCCGGCATCTCGTTCGATCCACTCGTTCTCGAAGCTTATGATTTTACCCCGTTTTTGTTCGATGTTTGTTCACGGAACGTTACGGCGAATCGAAGAAACGCGCCCACTTCCTGTGCCTCCGCTCGAATCGATTTCACAGTATTCGAAAACTCTCTCGACGTGGAATCGAGCTTGTACCACGGTTGTACCATGGAAGAATCTGAGATCTCGGGTTCCACGTTTGCGAGATACGCGTATAATCTACGTTCGAGGGTGTAGCATAGAGGCGAGGAAAGAAAAAAAGAAGAAACGTGATGGCATTTTCATCGAGCGATCGCTGTTTGCATAGGGCGTTGTGCCCGCCACTTCGCTCGTAATCGAATCTTTCAATTTCTACGCGACGAGAAAATTGCTAGTTTGTTTCGCGTATGTGATCGATAAGCTTCTACGAACCTCGGTTAGGTTCGCTTATTAGTGGTTTTATAAAAGCACTCGCAATCGTGAGATTTGTTGCCACAATGATGCGAATAACACCGAAACAATTATCGTATTATAGTTACCTTTTAATATGATTTTCTGTTTCCTATATATGATTTCTATTTCAACGATCACGTACGATTCTTCGACGCTTTTCGAATCGATTTATCACAGAATCTATCACGCGACAATTTTTCCTTTCTAATAATAGCAATATCCTCAAATTCTTCCATTTTGCTATTTTTATAATATTTTTCCCTGTCGATATTCTATGTACATCGATGTTTTACGATATCCATTTTAAAACGTTTCCAAGCGTGGCTGTTGGTATTCTATTAACCTGTATTTTCATGAGCGCGTCACCTGTTCGGTTTCCCCATGAACGACATGATGTCGAATCGGACCAGCCCGCTTTCCTTGAACCTGCGGATACCGCAGCCATTGACCGAGGCTTATTCCTCTGCTCCGTAACGAAAGGACCTAAGTGCGGTCATTCTCTATTCCTCTTCTTTCTCTCTCTTCCTAACCCCCCTCTATTCTCCTCTTCTCGCTCCCTCTCCCTTTTTCTCTGTCTTTGTCCTTCGCTTTCGCGTGCTCGTCGTTAGCTATCTTCACCACTGGTGTCCCAGGTTCATTTGAATATCAGAATGACGCACCCGATTTACCGAAGGCCACAAAAACTGATCACAAATAGCAACGAAACGCGTATTTCGAGTTTATCGGCTACCCGCACTGCGTATCGACACCTTTACCAACAACGAGATCGTATTTTACTTCGTTGTTTAGCGAGAATTTTAGTTTGGAACGTTAGTTTACTTTGGAGCGAACATTTGTGATATCGACATTATATATTGGTATTATTGGATTATCGTAATGCAATTGGAATTATATCGGAAATTTTGTTTCATTCGATGTATCTTTTAATTTGTTAACCGAGATAAGCGAACTCGTGCAATTCTTATCGATTCTTACCAATTACCAATTTCTTCGATATAATAATGACTTTACTCGAAGAATCTTCTTACGTGTTAGTTTTGTTAGAAATTAATTATAGTATCGTACTTACATCGGAGTAAGGATTACACAGCCGATTTAATTCCAATCGATTCGTCTCTATTAAACTTTAATCCCGTAATTACAGACGGTGTTATCAAAATTCAAAAATCTTATCTGAATCTTATTCGTAAGAATGTTATCGTAACACAATCGTACTGTAAATTCTTTTTGACTCCAAGTGACTTTTAAAAATCCTGTGTTCTACGTAAACACGCGATACCACAGGCATCACGGGCGGAAGCAGACGATTCTCAGCTCGGAAATGAATATTCACCTCGAAGATATCATCTTTCCCGTATAATAAACAACAAATCCATAGAAGAACGCCCGTAGCAAAGCAACGTAACGATCCAACGTAATACGTAACACGGAATAGCGAGGCTACAGTGGTAACACACGATCTATGGATTAAACTTCCGAGCAGCAAGGGAACACGCCCTCTCGAGCCTTACACCGCGACTGCATACCTTGGTTGCCCTATGGCAAGGCGCCGAAACACGAGGAAGGCAACGTGAAAGAGCGCGGGATTACATAACGAGCGTAAGAGACATCGAAAATGCAGAGGATACGTAGTACGACGATATACCAGTACCAACGAGGAAGAACATTTTATCAATAGAGCATACGCGCATGAAACGCTCGTTTCTCGGTTCCGGCCTCTAAGCAGTCGCTTAGTCATTCCGCATTAATTCCAGCCGCGTTACCCTCCTGTCTTCGATCCCTCCACGGCTTATCCAAAGTGCATCCCCGCGTTGAAAAGGGACCTACGCTGTTCCGTCTTGTTTCGTGTCCTTGCCACACGGAAAAGCGAAACGCGGAATCGATACATCAACCAGAAGCTACGGCAAGCAGTATTTGCTCGTATCGATCCGATTACGACGATACTGATTCGCGATTTAAAAACAAAAAGAAAAACAAAAATCACCATCTTCCTAGATCACGTCGATCACGTTACGATGATAATTCACGATACGCGCGAACAATGATATTTCTACCGATCAACAGTGTTTTTCTTTTATATCAAACACACACGTAGCGTACGTGCGTACTCTTTGTTTTGTATCTTCTTGTACCTGGCCTTTTTCTTCTTCCTTATCCTTCTTGGTTTTTGCGACGACGACACGTAACAGAGGCACTCTGCTTTAGGCGCGATCGAGAAGCTCGATACGAGTCGGAGCGAGCGTTGGTATTTCAGTGGAAAAAGTAGATGCTCGATATGAGTGGCGCGAAGCACATATAGAAAACGGGATTACGAAGAATTTATCGACTTTCGTTCGCGCCTACCACGGATATCTCCGGCTGGCGATCGTGTGTCGCTACGAATTCTACGGTCGTAGACAGCTACCGCGAACGAGACGGCGTGCCACGTATTACTTGTACACCGAGGAAAGCGTACGATTGCTGTTAGGCATCCGTGGAAACAGTTATTTTTTGATTACAATAGACTTTAAAGTGAACGCTCGCACCGTTCCGTAGTTACGCGGAGGATTCGTAGCAACGAATCGCGCGTGAACTGCGCGCAACTAGCAGCGGTACGAAACTTTCGTAGCGTTCTATCCTATTGCCTATAATCGCGAAGCTGTTAAAAACTCATCAGAAACACGTTAAAATTTTACTCGTATAAAATGCCAAGGGTTATTGCCACACTTCGGACGAGAAGCGTTCGAAGTTAATAAAAAGAGAGCATAACGAAGTCAAAGATTCTAAGTAGTATTCATTCAAAGAAGAGAAGAAAACATTGTGTAACTGGAACAACCGATGGAAAAAAAAGGGGAACAAGAATACAACTCGGTAACCGGTCGTCCTCTCTATTTTTCCAAGATAAGCGTGACACTCTTGACGAAAGAATAAGGCCATAGTCGTGCTCGTATTAGACCGGTGCGTTGCTCGCGTTGTTAAAAGTGCATTCACACGCGGCCATGCGACTCTAGCTCGCGCTCTCGCTCGGCGACGCGCTCGATAGCTGCGTACGGATAGCAAAAGGCGAAGCGTTGGCCGACCAAGCAGCTCAAACTCGTTGCAACCCGCGTTACGTTCCCCTACGTACCACGGTGACAAGGAGCCACGGACGAGTCCGGTAACGGCGAGCCGTGCAAAGTGAAACTCGCTAAAGGTTTCCTATAGGGTTACACGGCCATCCATGAGAGAGTGCCTCTGCCCTGCTTGCCTGCCCCTCTTATGCCGTACCGAAACGAGTTTTACTCGTTGGGCGATATCGGTTACCGGCAAGTCGAGCATTTATTACTTACATGGAACCCGGAAGACCGATCGATCGGAAGTGGCCCACACGAACTTGAACCGTGTCGCGTAACGCGGTTCCGTGGAAAAATCTTGCCTCAAGATTTTCTAGTAGAACCGCATTTATTCGAACTGGTTGAGTCATAAGTGGTTCACGTAATTGGAGCTCATTGACTTTTCAAATTAGTTAGGATTTCTCGTTCGAATAATAGGAATTTACGGTTTACGGTAAATCGATTGGGTATTAAATAAAACTTAAACAAATGCAGTTCTATAGCGCGTGGTTAATTGAATATTTCGAATGTTTTAACACCAGTATTGCCAGATCTGCAGAAATAAAAGCAGATTTTTTATTCTGATTAATTTTACGTGCAAGTGCTTTTAGTGAAATTGTTATCGACTTTTACGATTGTTACCAATTTACAACATTTATAGCGTATTTTTACGTCAATGATTTTTACGTAAACGATTTTTCTTCTTAGAAACGAATATACGTATGCTTCGAGTATCACACGCTTTGTATCAAATATAGGACATTGGACAATAAAATGGCATATTGTTATATTGGAATATTCGTAAATAGAAAGGGAAGATTACGAATTCAGCTTTTAAACAATAACGTGGACAAGATTTTCGTTCGTTCGTTTTAGGTATTTTCACGATTAGCTTAAGAAGGATCGACCCGTTTCATAAATGAGCGCGCGGTAAATATGAATGAAAAGATACTTCCATCTTTTTCAATAATGTTTACGCATTTATCCAGCAGAGAGATCGCTGAGTGATCACTCGGTTTAACGTCGTACCGAATCGAAACTCGTTTTACTAGTCGGTCGTTACGGAATACCGGTGAATCGGGCTTACGTGGAACCCGGAAGATCGACTGGACGGAAGTGATGCATGTAACGTCGATTCTGTTTCTCATAAAACGGGTGACAGTAATTAATTGCGTGCTGCCCGATGTACCGATGTTTATACCGTTTATAGAC